ACTCTCAGGCTTTCTTGTCTTTCTCTTTTATTTCAACCTAGCCTCAGCTCCAGCCTATGGGGATGGGGATGGTACTGCCACATTCAGACTGGGTCCTATCCTTTAGCCCTCTTTGGAAATCCTCAGACACACATAGAAGCCTGCTTTACTCATTCCTTTGGCACTTCTCAAGTCAATCAGCTTGACAATTAAGATTAATTGTTATAGTTATGCATCAGTTAAGATCCCTACCATTAGGAATTATAAGAAATAAATATCCCCTCCCTTTAGAAACCAATTATTTAGAGGAAGTCATGTCTGATTTTGCTATTTCTTACCTAAATGTTTTATGAAATTCATCTGTAGGCCTATCTGGAACTTAGATTTTGAAAAAAGTTTAGCTATAATTTTACTTTAACAGGAAGTAGAGCTATTAAGTTATTTCAAGGATTATGTCCTTTGTATTTAAATTCTCAAATTTGTTTTAATACAGTTGTTTTGGTACTCTCTTATTTTCCTTTGTTATAAAATCTGAAGTGTTATCTCCATTCTGTTTTTTAATATTGATTTTGTGTGTGATCTTTTTTGATTTTTTTCTTTTCTTTTTCTTACTCTCTGATCAGTCTATCTAGATAGTTGACCATCATTGATAGGATCAAGGAGGGGGATTTGATTTCATTGATTTTCTCTATTGTTTTACCACATTGTATTCCATTGATTCCATCCCCCTACCTTTGGTCTATAGTGTTTCCTTCTACTTAATTTGGCTTGGTTTTGTCTTCCTTTTACTAGTTCCTTAAAATGATGACTGAGTCTCTGAGTTAAGAATTTCATTTCTTTCTAGTACAGATACATTCAGTGTTAGATATGTTCTCTAAGTAGTTGTCTCTTTTAACTTCCTAACACCTGCTACAAATAGGCTGTGTGGTTTCCAAATGGGGGCTTCCCAAGGGTCTTTCTGCTGTTGCTTACTTATCCAATTATTATTTAGAAAGATGTTTCATAAAGCTTTAATTTTTAAAAAAAATATTGGGGTTTTTTTAGGGTCCAGAGTATAAACTACTATAGATTTAGTAAATGTTCCTTGTCATCTTACAAGAATATGCATTTTGGTCTTACTATAGTATTCAGTATCCTATAAATGTTAAATGGGTCTCATTGGTTGATCATGGTAAATCTACTACATTCTTGTTTTCTGTTTGCTTGTGTCAATGATTAGAATCAGGGTATCAAAATCTCTACCTATAATTGTGGCTATCCCAGCATGAAAACTGGGAAACAATTCTTGGCTCTCTCACTTTTCTGCTTGTCTTTCTTACAGATTCCAGGGCAAACTTTTCTGGATTGTATTCAGTGCTTATGAAGCAAACAAGCTTGGTTTTCATTCTAACCTTCAGCAGTTTCCTGACGTGTGTGTTAGTCCTTGCTCAGCAGAAAACTTCCGACTCTGCTGGTCTGCAGTCTGTCCTCGGCAGTGTTGTCCTCTCAAGCACCTTCTAGCTTCTTAGTCTTCCTGTGGACCCTCAGCTCTGTCTCTTCAATTCACAGAGAGGAACAGAGTCTCTCTAGATTGCCTCTTCCACGACCTCAGCCCGGAAACCCTTTTTATACAGTAAACCAGGGGAATGTTTTCCTCTATAGAGGAAAAGCCAACAAGGTGGGCTCTGTGATTTCCCAGGGCTCGTCTTGTTGGCTTTTCATCTATAGAAAATAACTCTTCTTTTTCCATAATGTCCTGTATTTCATGAACCATTGTTTCAAATAACTTACCCAGTTCTTTTTTAGAGACTTCAAGTGGGAGAAATAAATTCAATTTCAATTACTTGGTAGTCAGCAATAAAAGCTTTAATATTAAATATTAACTCTGTATACCTAGATATATACTTGGTTGCATGTGTGATTTTGTACTTAGCCATTTCTAATGTTAAACTACAGGGAACAAAATGAACACACCATAATATCATTCTTGCTTGAGTTCCTCTGTGTGGAGCGGGCTACATGGTTGAAGACTCAGTACGGGCTAGGCTTGCGCATAAGCAGGAAATTTGGGCATGCAGCATTGCCGCAATGGTGGCTTCACAGTGAGAACCCTTGCATTCTTAGCCTTGTAACTAGATAGTACTAGTTACAGGAGCAGCCACAATCTTTATCTAGAATTGCTTAGTTTATTGGTTGTTGATGTGAGACTGCAGACAGTATCTGAGTTTGTAGATCTGTAGCAATTGCTCTTAACTTGCCCATCTTTTCTTTAATGTTTCAGATGGAGGCTCCACAGAGAGTAATTCCTGTAATTCTTCAAAACTGCCTTTCGTATTCACTCACTGCTAGACTGGCTCCAGCCTGGAACAGAGCAGGTCATCTCTTGGTACAAGGTGACTGTGTGCCAGTCATGGGGACTTTCTGAACTAGACTGCTTCTGTATGCACATCTGGGTTTGATTTCAGTGTACCTTACTTTTAGAGAGGAGTTCTTAGCTCCAACTCTAAACATTCTTAGACAAGCCCACACTAACACCACTGTCATCTCCTTACGTGGGGATAATATACAGAGGGCTGTTGACACTGCTTTAAAATGCTTTTATTATTGTAATACTTGCTACTTAAGAATAAATATGCTATGAAGGATTTGATAAAATAAACACAAATTGTCAGTATTGTTGGACCCAAAGGGCTATCTTGAATTATTGCTAAAGTTTGATGGTTTTCTAAGTACTATAAAGTACTTAGACATACATTTTTGAAGGAAGAATTGGGTATTTTGGTCCTTTTCAGGGAACAGATACTTTTTGAGTGATTATGTTTTTTTCTAAGAGCTGTCATTAGATATTTTACAATTTCATAGCACTGCAAATGGTTATATTTCTCAATAATGACTATTTCTGAATTATAATAATATGGTATTTCCTGTGAATTTTTTAAGGAAGAAATTTTCTTTCTCAAATGGGAAAGCAAAATGCTGTTGGTAAGTAAAAACACATAAAGCAATAAACAAAGCATTAATATGACTAACAGTTGTTTAAAAACCAATGTTGAGTTGTTACAGTCTTGATGATTACCATATGCAAGAAGATAATAAGACACAATTATAATCAGAATTTACCTAGGAAGTTATTTCTCATTAAAAATATATATTTACCTACTTGATAAAAAAAATTCACTTAAAGCTGGGCGGTGGTGGTGCATGCCTTTAATCCCAGCACACGGGAGGCAGAGCCAGGCAGATCTCTGTGAGTTCAAGGCCAGCCTGGGCTACCAAGTAAGTTCCAGGAAAGGCGCAAAGCTACACAGAGAAACCCTGTCTCGGAAAAAAAAAAATTCACTCAATTGGGAGGAAAGGTATATTTTATTTTCTCTACTTAAGAAAATGATTATGAAAAAAAGAAAATGATTATGAAGATGTTTAATTCTGCAAGTATTTTAATATATTTTCCAAAATCATATTATCAAAAATTGTATTAATTATGTCAAAACTTATTTTTGTTAGAATATTGTTTATCTCCTGAAAAGAATAGACCTTATTATAACATCCAATCCAATCGATTGCTCTGCATATTGCACTGAAGGTAGGTAGGTTCCGAGATAGCAGTGCCGAGGCAGCAGATGGATGGGGATCGTAAGTGTCCAGTCGGCTTTAATAATCAGACATGGCAGCTTCCCCCACCATTTGAACATAGTTTCACATCCTCATTTATAGTCCACAATGACTGGAACTGAAGGACTGTCCTGCTGAACCATGCTTCCTGCCTGGCACTACTTCTGGGTTTCAGTTAGACAGTGGCAGTCGCTCTGACCTCACACTGGATGAATGAGTTTGTTACCTAAATTTAGCTTCATTACACTACATGAGACCTTAGCTAGAGAGTCAAGATAACAATTTAGAAGAGCAAATTTCTTGGGCTCCTGCTAGAAGACTGTTTTTACTTTTGTTTAAAGGTAAATACTTAGGCTCAGACATGTTAGCGGATAGTCACTAAAGTTTTACAAAGTCAAGGCAGCCTCATAACTGATCCTCTGCTCAGGAAATAGCATTGTCAGCATCCCTGAAGCTCCCAAAGCCTCTTCAGATACTCTCTGCTTCCAAGGTCCTCGTGACTCTGCCATGTCAGCATAGCTTTATTTATAAAAGAGTAAGGAAGGTCTCTAGGAGGAGGCTTAGTGAATGACTATCAGGTCAGAATCCTGGTGTGAGACCTCACTGGAATTTAGTAATAGATGTCAGATTTGCAGAAGTATTTATTGAGTGTACTATAAGCTGAAGAAGTATTGTCTTTCTTAGCGTCATCCTCTTGTAGGAGCTCCTCCCCACACATATCCTATTGTTTCATATCTTTGTCTTACAAGTGTAATTTGTAGACTGCAAAATCTATGGTTTATTATTTGAAATTTATAAGTGTAATAAACTGTTCTTAATGTAAAAGTTGGATAAAGTAATATATGCTACTAAAATGCTTCATTTGATATAATAGAATACTAATTCTAGAAAATTCATGTTTAATTCTTTTTCAGTATTAGACATCAATGTAACAGAAACACAAGTTTGTCTAAGTATTGAAGTCTATACAATCAGATTGCCAACACCTGAGGTACAAAATATTTTATTTCTGTAAGCTCCTGTATTTACTATATGTGCATGTTATTATTACTATTTGATTTTAGTTTTTAACATGGAAGCTGATAGGAAGAGTTTTGTTACCAGAACACTTGCAATGTTTTCTCAGATATGTAGGATGTACACACATACACACATATATGAAAACAGAAGGGGCCATTTGGAGGGAAAAGGAAGGGAGGAAACTAGCAGGAGTGCGGGGCAAATGAGGGAGACCAACGGGGCGACTGTGGACAAAGTACAAATAGAAACTTAAATGTCTTAACGAAGCCCATTATTTTGTGCTAACATTTAAAAGGACTTAGTAGTTGTTTGTTGTTATCATTTGTTTGTTTAGTTATGGTGGTTTTGAAACAGAGTCTCAGTTCATAGCTCAGGCTGGCTGCCAGTTGGTGTCTGCCAGGCTGGCCTTGAACTTGTAGCTATCCTCCTACCTCAGCCTCCAGAGTATAAGAATTGTAGGCACAATGCACCGTGCCCAGCTTTAAAAAAATAAATAAAATGTATGCTGCTAAGTGCTTGACATGTCTATGTTTTCTAAATTCCCCCAATATCATTCTCATTTAACATGGGTTTTTATCATTTTATTCCTGTCAAAAATATCATTAGACACATCCAAAATGTCACTACCTTATCTTGCCTTGGTGCCAATTTCTTCTGCTTTTTTACCTCCAGATTTTAAAAATACAGTTTCATCTCATGGTAAAAATTCTTGTCTTCTACTCTTGACATTCTTGTAGCATTTTTTCACCTATATTTTATGCAACATGCTTTCCGTCTTTGTCTTCTATTTTACTAATTCCCATAGCATCTGGCATAGAGCTTTACACATTATTAGTCACTCGGTACATGTTGTTTCCTTTATCAGGTACAGTTGGTTCCTCAGGGACAGAGAAAGATGAAGGAGGAAATGGAATGTTTTTGCTTTCTACGAAACATTTGGCAATACCTAAAGGCTGTTTTTTGGTTTCCAGGGTGTATGGAAGGAAGGAGGGTATGGTTTTACTACTAGCATCTAGCAGGCAGGAACAAGGAATGCTTCTGAATGTTTTACCCTATACAGAATAAAAACCTGCCACTACCCCAGCAAAGGATTATCTGACCCAAAGTGTCACTAGCACTGAGGTTAAGAGCGTGTTTGGAGATTCTACTAGGGGAGCACAGCTACTCAGACCATTGGCTGAGAAAGGCTCTCCTCTATCTTTCTGACCTAGCATAAAGCTTTAGGAGAGACATGCATTAAATGGTGAGGGAGGAAGGAGACACCTGCCCAGTCAGCTTTATCAGCCTCATCAACACTGGTAATTAGTGGGGTGACAGATGTTGCTGCTAGGTGCCACTCCCCACTCCAGTTGTCTGGTGTACATCTCTTCCCCTGGTTATAAATTTGTTTCGTTCTCCATTGACTATGTAATGAAATCCTAACTGCTTCATGTGATGGATGAGGTCCTCATCAAATTGATCCAAACTTTCCTTATATGTAGCCTCATCTACCATCACTCCTCTTCCCAAGAGCCAAAGTTAATTGTCTCTCCAAGGCAGGATAGTCCTCCATTCTTTCAAGTCCTGGCTCAAACTGTCTTCTAAGCTCTCAATACTTGTTCTCTGACTCATCTTTCATGATATAACTTATCATTACCACCTGTGAAGACTTCAGAACTCCCAAAGTTCATCTCTCTTTGTTCATACTGTTGTTTATACAAGTGTATCATTATGCTGAGTTTTAAAGGAAAGGGTCTGTGTCTTTCTAACTTTTCTTTCATAGAAGTTACATAACACCTGTCACTCAATATAGTAAAATTTTTAGTAATTGAAACTTGAGCAGCATGAAAGACTAGCTTCTAACTTGAATTAGATAACTTTAGTATCTAAAGTCTATTCTTCTAAGGTAGAAATCCTAGTAGTTTTCTAAACTTTGATCTTTGATCTTATTTTGATAACTTTTTAAGATAGTTTATCATTATTATAAGAAATGCTATTTCAGCCCTTATTTTTGTATTTAAAAAATCTACATGTTTTCTCAATAATAGTAATTTTTCCAATTTTAGACTGTGTTAAACTATACTATATTCCTAAAACTTATTGTCTTGGTGTTTCTAATTGCTGTGAAAAGACACTGTGACCACAGCAACTCTTATAAGAAAAACATTTAATTGAGGTGGCTCACTTACTGTTTCAGAGGTTCAGTCCATTATCATCATGATGTGGAGCATGGAGGCATGCAGGCAGATGTGGTACTGGAACAGACTCCTACATCTTGCAAGAAACAGGAAATGGACTGAGATACTGGGCAGTATCCTGAGCATTGGAAACCTCAAAACCCACCCCCACAGTGACACACTTCCTCCAACAAGGCCATACCCACTCCAACAAAGCCACACCTCCTAATAGTGTCACTCCCTATGTGATTACAGGGCCAATTACGTTCAAACTAACACTCATATAAGTGTCTAGATAGAAACTTATATGTGTAAACTGCTACAAGTTGATATATTCAGATTATAATTGAATCCACAACTACCTGAGGGATATGTTTCAGAAAAGTATTATGTAATATTAAACTGTTGCCCTGAAATTTTAGTTATATAGAAAATAAGCAACTGGAAACAAATTTGTGTTTATTCTACAGACAGCTGTCTATTGGGTATCATTATGTACATGTGCAAAGTGTTTTCTCCCAAAGATTCTATCAAGGTCAGACAAAAATCAGCATAAAGATGAGAACACTTACAAAATACTTATTAATATTTGCACTCCTAAAACATTTAGAGTTGGCTTAGAATCTCATTACAATTCTCAAATCTTCATTTAATAACAGTGCCACTTTGAACATTCTACTTAATTTCCCTTAACCTCAGACTTTTGTATAAATTGGAGCTAATGGTACCTAGCTCATGGAGAGTTGATGCAGTGAATTGGGTAAAGTACATCAAATGATTCCTATGGCATGTGATACATAATGGAAGTTCAAAGTGGTAGTTATTTTTTTAACTAAGTGAATTGAGACAGGTGAAATAGTTGTTGTAGGTCTCAAAGGTAGTTGGTCAAGATTCAGAGTTTTTCTTCCAACACTGTTCTGCTTCATTGTTCTTTCTCTGCTTAGCCTTAGCTTACTTGGTTACATTTGTGTGTCCTTTGGTATAATTAGTTAGTGTCTTAGTCACTGTTTTGTTGCTATGAAAAAACACCATGACCAAGACAAAAGAAAACATTTAACTGGGGGCTTACTTACAGTTTATAGGCTTATTTCATTATCATCTTAGCAGGGAACATGGTAGAAGGGAGCATGGCAGCAGGCAGGCCTGGTGTTGGAGAACTAGCTGAGAACTACATCCTGATACACAAGCGGGGCGGGGTGTGTGTGTGTGTGTGTGTGTGTGTGTGTGTGTGTGTGTGGAGACAGGGCCTGACATAGGCTTTTGAAGCCTCAAAGCTTACCCACAGTGACAAACTTCCTCCTACAAGACCACATTTCCTAATCCCTGTAATCCTATCAAAGAGTTCCACTCCCTGGTGACAAGGCATTCAAATGTATGAGCCTCTGGGGGCCATTTTTATTCAAACCACCACAAATACCTAATATCTGTGATATATATTGAATAAAAACAGTGGTTAAATAACATTGCTTGACTATATGGTAGAGTTTGATAAGAGCTGTATTAATTTAGGATCCAGATGGAAGGGAGATGTCTGAGGATATTAGTCTTTGATATCATTGGAACATGTACACTATTTTGTACCATTTAGTTCTTAAAGCCTCATCTCTTTCCTTGATTTCTCTGAAATTACTTTCTCAAAAGTCCAATACCATTGATCCATTTCTTTTATATGTTGCCACTTGGATATCACTGTTTTCTAGGTTTCAAAAATTTTCAGCCTACACACTAATTATACCTTTTACATGTTCTTGTGTAGTTGTGATTGTGTCCTTTTAGACCCCCTCTCATGCATGTACTGATGACACCCTATGTCACTTACTTTCCTATCGCTATGACACAACACCTTGACCAAGGCATCTTATAGAAGAGTTTATTTGGGCTTATGGTTCCAGAAGTTTAGAGTCCATGATGGCAGAGCAAAGTGCAGCACCCTGCACAGCCTCAGGAATTGAGCAACTGGAGTGATGAGAGAAAGAAGGAAGGACAAACACACAGACACATGTACAGAAAAGCTAAGATGGGGTCATATAGGCTGTACTCACTCTGGCACAGGGGACCAACTGGTACCAACTGTGACCCTGAAACTCAACTTATTTTATACACCTGGATTGAGGAGGCAGGTTTATGGTATACAGCTGCATGCGGCAGGTTTAGCTAATCTCAGTAGGAGTTTTCTGTAAGGGAGCAATTTCAGGCTGCACTCATCTCAGAGGAGAAAGTTGTAGTTGTTAGTTTCTGCCTACACAGGTCAATTGTTCATAAACACTTATACTTGGACACTAAATGAAGGCTCTGACCTGCCTCTGAGCCTCACCCAGCAAAGGTTTGCCACCCCCTATGCCTAAGGAATTGGAGTCCTTAGCATGCCCGTGTTAACAACACACATTACTCAAGATTCATCTGCTTTCCACAGCAGGAGTAGCTGGTGGCAGGCGTGACAGCTAGAGCACAAAGCAGGGAGCCAAGTGGAAACGTCCAAGGCCACCCTCAGGGACAGACTTCCTCCAGCAGAGCCACACCCCTAAACATCTGAGCTTATGGGGACGTTCTCATTTAAACCATCACACACCCAGACTTGATGATCTAAAAGTGAATGTGTGTCACCCTCCCCAGCCCAAATCTGTTCTTCCTTTGCATTTACTATTTTGCCATCAAAAGACAGTAACTTACCTCCATGGAGACTTCGTTGTTACTTTGGTACTTTCTCACTTCCACTATCTAATTCATTCCTGCCTTGGTCTCCATAACGACCTCCTCTTCACTTCCATTATTCTGATTTAGACCTGTTCTTTTGACTCAACCAGTCAACTGATCTCCACAGAGGCCTTGTTTCCAATCTTTCCTCTTTTGGTTTGACCTCTACTTCTTCACAGTATCAATAGATTTCTGTTTCTAAATCAAAGCTTCCCTACCTAAATATCTTTAAGATCTCAACATTGCTTAGAAAACTAAGTCCAAATTCTTTAGATTGTTGTTATAAGGTAGAAGAAATATTTATTTATTAAGTACCTTCTCATCAGTTTGGTTTTAGATGCATAGGGATACTTTAAAATATTTCCAAAGTGGCTGGGTGGTGGTGGCGCATACCTTTAATCCCAGTACTCGGGAGGCAGAGCCAGGCAGATCTCTGTGAGTTCAAGGCCAGCCTGGGCTACAGAGTGAGTTCCAGGAAAGCCTCAAAACTACACAGAGAAACCCTGTCTGGAAAAAAAAATTCCAAAGTGAATAAATACAGAGTTAGCATTCTCTTGAGATGTATGTTAATAGTTGAGTATTTTCATAGTGTTCAGAATAATCTGTGTTGACAAGTACTGGTGTTGTGGACATCCCTGCAGCAATTGATTTGAGCCTCTGAATAGTGTTGATCTGTACTTAAGCTGTGTAAGTAGGTATTTGAGAGAACCCACAAATTCTGAGCACTTTACTTTAATGCCTACCTTTAGAATTCTGTTTTAGATTCTGTTTTCTTTCAAGCTAGTCATTCTACCTGATGCCAGTATATGGTGACATTCATGACTGCCTGCCATGGTCATCTTTGTTTACTTATTCTTTTCTTCCTTCTTTCCTTCTTCCTAACTTCCTTTTTTCATAGCATAGCTTAGGTAGCAGATTTCTCAAGAACATCACATCATAATATTTACCTCTTGTGGCTAAAGAGATGATTCAGAAGCTAAGCATGAATGTCACCATATACTGGCATCAGGTAGAACTGAATGATTCTCAGAAACCATATCAGGTGCCTCACAACCACCTATAATCCCAGCTGTAGAGCATTGATACCCTCTTCTGGCTGCCCTGGGCAATCAACTTCCCTACATACACACACATAAGTGGAAAAAAAGTAAATATGTTTTTAAGAAGAGTTACCTCTGTCCTGCATGGGACAGTCTATGTCCTTCTCAGTTCTGAGTGTTGTTGCTCTTACTATTTTTTTCCATCCTTCTTCTCGTGCTAAGGATAGAACCTGGGATCTTTCATATGCCACACAAGAACTATAACATGAATGTATGTCCCTAGCATATTTTATCATTGCTTCCCATATTGACTTCCCAGGGTGGCTGAACCATAAGTGATGAACACTTATTGTCTATATAGAGGCTGGAATCCTGTCTGGGTAGGATATCTGAGGATCAGGAAGAAAGCATTCTAGAAAATAGAATGGGGATTTCAAAGGAGAGTGTGACCCTGGCTCTGTCAGAAGCTGTCTTTAAAAAGTGTAATCTAGGGCTGGAAAGATACCATAATCTGGTAAAGTGTTTGCTGAGCTTGATCCCCCAGATCCCACATTAAAGAAATTAGGCATTGTGGTGCACATTTGTAACACCAGCACTGGGGTGACAGTAAAAAGCAGACCCTAGGCCTTGCTGGCTGGACTACTTGAGAGTTCCAGACAAGTGAGACCCTGTCTCAAAAAATAAAAAGAAATGCATTCCCAAGGAATGACTTCCACTCACACATGTCCACATATACAAGCATGTGCCCACAGATACACATAAAATATACTTTCCTTTAGAAGAAATTTGACTTCTCTAAGTTGACATAATAAAAATTGATTGAATTAAGCATAAAATAAACACTTGGGCTTGGAAGATGCAAAGGAAAACATGGCCTGTTTGGTGCACTGTGCAGTGAGAGACAGGATGTGTCACAACACTGATTAGGTCATGATTCAAAAAGATGTAACTCCCTGATATATTCATGAACCACTGTCAGTGTGTGTTGTTGTAATGTTTCTTTTTATGTGGCAAATTCCTGAGGACTTATATATTGAAATCTCATTTCATTTAAAAGCTAAAGGAGTTTGATGTTTCTCAGCGTATTATAGAGGATTTTCATGCCAACCAGAATGCTGTCATTGAGAGACATTCCATCTTAAGCAACTGGTGCTACATTCTGCCCAGGTAAGATTTTAGGTTGGAATGTAAAGCTGGTGTAATGACTACTTTTGCACCGCTGTGACCACAGTATCTGAAGAGGAAACTTAAGGGAGGGAAGGTTTTCTGGGCTTACAGTTTTAGAGGGTTCCAAGCATCATGTTGTGGAAGTCACAGTGGGGCAGCAAAGTTCAGTACCACTCTATTCACAAGAGCTAGAGAATGGAACCAGCCTAGATGTCTGTCAAGTAATTTTTAAACACACACACACACACACACACACACACACACACATAGTTAGTTTTTTTTTTTAATCTTTTACACTTTGGGGGCCTACTACCCAGCTCCCAAATAAATACACTGAGACTTACTCTTGCTTATGAATGCCTGGCCTTAGCTTGGCTTACTTCTAGCCAGCTTTTCTTAAACTCTTCTGTCTACCTTTTGCCTATGGGATTTTACATTTTTTTCTATTTCTGTATATCTTTTCTTTCCTTCTTATTCTGTGTCTGGCTGTTTGGCTTGGTGACTGGCCCCTGGCATCATCCTCTCCGTCTCCTTTTCTTGCTCTGCTCTCTTTATTCTCTCTACCTGCCAGTCCTGCCTATTTCTCTCTCCTGCCTAGCTATTGGCCATTCAGTTCTTTATTAGACCAGTTATTTTAGGCAGGTACAGTAACCCAGCTTCACAGAGTTAAACAAATGCAACATAAAAGAATGCAATATATTTTTGCATCATTAAATATTCCACAGCATAAATGAATATAACAAATCTTCAACTAATATTCTACAATACATACACACACACACACACACACACACACATATATTTAACAAACAAATATAGAAGAGGTCATGAATTCAAAGAGATGGTTGGGAGGATAGAGGAGTTGAGGGAGTGGAAGCGGCAGGGTAGAAAGGATGGAAATCAGTGTAGTCATGTATAAAATCTTTAAATTTAAAGTAAATGCAAGTATCCCATATAAAGGGAATGTCAACATACTGCTCATGAGAATGTAAATTAGTACAAATACTATAGAAAACAATATGGAAATTTCTCAAAAGGTAAAAATGGAATTACCATATGATCATTAATCCTATATATCAAAGAAAATAAAATCAGTGTATCTAAGATGTTTCTGTACTCACATTCATTGCAGCACTGTTCACAGGAGCTGAAATGTGGATACAACCTAGGTTTCTGTCTAGGTAAAAGAGATAAAGAGGTGGTATGTATGCACAATGGAACAAATTCAGCCTACAAGGAAGGCAGGCAGTCCTGTCATGTGTGACAATATGGATGATGAGCCTGAAACATGTTATATTAAGCAAAATAAGCTAGACAAATCCTATGTGATCTTATATGTAGCATCTAACAAGTTGAACTCATAAAAACAGTAAAAGAGCAGTTACCAGAGGTAGGATGGAGCTTTGGACTACAGTAGAGAGATGTTGGTCAATGATAAAGAATCTCAGACAGGAGGAATAAGTTGAAAAAATCGGTTGTACAACACAGTATACCGAATATCAACAAGCTGTTGTTCTTGAAAATTACTACAAATAGATTTTAAATATTTTCACCACAAAACATGTACATATGCGAAGATATATATATATATATATACATATATATATATATAAAGTTGATTAAGGCATTCCATAACTATTTGTATTTCAAAGTATACCAAATATATCTAAAATTTGCATGTCAAGACAAAATATATATATATATATATAAAGTTGATTAAGGCATTCCATAACTATTTGTATTTCAAAGTATACCAAATATATCTAAAATTTGCATGTCAAGACAAAAAACTCAATGCAATTGAGTTTGTAACTAGGTACAAGTGATTAGTTTGTTATTTATATGTGGATAGTACCATACTTGCTAAGTCTTTTGGAATACCTTCTAAAGCAGAGTTAACTTCTCAAACAACATTTAGCTGTATTTAAGCATTGGCATAATGTTATATCAAATCTCATTTTTCATAGCATGAAAATGGGGCAGATAATAAATTTTCTTCATACGGCACCGCCTGACTGTCCCTTTCGTTCCTTCAAAGATTTCCAGAGGCACTGGGATGACTTGGTAGGAAGCATATGTCTATCATACTGAATGTTATTTGATCTCTTTCTTGCCATGTAACATAAGAATAGCGTCCTCTAAAATGATTTATATTGTGTGCTTAATTTATAGTATGGCTATAAACTTCCAGAAGATTGTGGAGATATGAAAATATACTGTAGCATCTATTTCAAAATGGTCAAAGAACGGACCTTCACGTATCCTTTGCACACTTTCTGTCTGCCTCATGAGCCAGCCTTGCTCATGCCCATGCTGTCATTATTAATGGAACCACTTTTCCTGCACAGTTCTTTACTTAGCTAAGAAGATGGTACTAATAGGAACTTTTGTGGCTGTTTGTTTGGGGTGTTTTTGTTCTGACTTTGAGACAGATCTCATGTAGACCAGGCTGGTTGGGAACTCACCTTGTATTCTGGGCTACTCTGGACTTTCTGATGCTCCTGTCTACTTTTCAAGTGTTGTTATTTACAGGCATACTCCAGCACATCCCGTTTATGCTGAGGATAGGGTGAAATCCAGCACTTGCTGCAAGGCTCTGCATTACATTCAGTCTACCAGCTAAGCTCCATTCCCAGCCTCTTATCTCTTAACAAAAGACCCATCACATTTTAATTGCTTCTCATATGAAATCCCTTTGGTGACAGGAAGGAGGGTCTTCTTATGTAACCCAGGCTATCTTTGAACTGGCCATCCTCCTGCGTCAGCTTCCTCGGTGCTGGAATTACCACCACCCCAGGCTATAAGGATGTTTCTTTAAAGACTATTGCAAAATTTAGACAAGAAAAGAAAGTTCAGAATAGAGAAAATAGGTGCATGTATTTCCTAGTAGAACATAAGAAACCAATGCTAGGGTTCTCCCTAGCCAAGAGCTCCCCCCAGTGTTGTTTGGACATTATTGGAAGGGTTAAATTAGAAGTTTCTGAGATCTTGCTTTTTGGAAGATTTGCTTTTAGATTTGACTTCCACTTAACACACTGCATTGATTTAGGAAAATAGCTTTTTTAATATTACTTTAAAAATATACACAGAAACAGGACACAAGTGTCTAGGTGGAGCTCTTAAATCTTAATTAGCACGGCTTTCATCATTCTGACAGGCTAGGGTTTAGAAATGGAAGAGCCAGTGGTCTGTGCTCTCTTTTAACCCAGATAATGCACAATAAACCTGCAATCGACACTGCCAGCAATTCCCTTTCATTATATGCCAACCCTATCTAAGTGATGAGAATATTTCTCGTTAGGAAAAGTGACTGCTTTCCTTGAAGGACTGCATTTGAAGTTTGAATATAATTAGTAAGGTATTTCTTCTCTGTGCCCAGTTTTTCAATGCTTTTGAAGATAGGAGCAGTTTACTGTTCACTAACTTTGTCCTTGTACTTTATACAGGTGATGGGTGGCACATTTCTTCTAAGTCTTTTCTGGAATATTGTAATCTACTCACAATTCTATTTACAAAATGAAGACACAGTGATTCACCTTGATTGTGTCATGTCACACACACATATAATTTGTTAATAAAAATAAACCTAAAATAGCAGAAATGAAGGGATGCTATCTATTTAGCTTTGACAACTATAGAATATAACATAAAAACAGAATCTGCTTGTCCGTGTCTTGTCAACATTGTCGCCTTTTTAAAAATGAAAATTGCTATGTCCTGTGGACAGAAACCTTCATGTTGCCCTTTAACTTTGCTCAGATACCCTCTCAGTTGCATCAGGAGTCAGCCCATTCAGTTCTTCCCAAGGGTGGATTTGGAAGGTGTGTTGAAAAGCTTTCTTTCGGATTTAAAATCTAAACTGCCGCATATATGTGGATTTCCCATAAAGATGACAAATAAGCCATGCTACTACACACAGGAGCTAACCAGACCACAAAAACAGGTAAGGTGTACTTTCATCTCATCCAGGGTCTCTGAATTCCTTAGTAGATCATGAACTTTTCTCAGTACAGCGTCTCACAAATGCTCTCTGTTGTTACTGTTACTTACCTGTTTGCCCTGCCGTTTGTTATTATTGCATTTCATATGATACACAATTGTTCTGATGTGTCTCATCCATATCTAGATATGCATGAGTTGGGTTACTGGAGATTAAAGAGAGAATGTTGTGAAGTGTTCACCTGGATAGACTGATCAGGGGGCAGTCCTGTTCAGTAGACATTGGGTGCCTGCTGCCCACTAGGTGGAGTCAGGAGTGGGTTTCTCTGAACCCTGCAGCAGGAGAAAAGTCCTCACCAGTGTCTGCCTCTGCATTAACTTCAGGAGGAAACCAACACACCTGGCTCCCTGCAGATAGACACGGGTAGAAGAAATGTCTCTTAGGGGATTTTCTACACCCCAGACTTGGCAGAATAGGGGAAGAAGACACAACTTGAAATCAGATTCTGAGTTTTTATATTTTCTAAAAACATTTAAAGGGAGGAGAGTTACCTCTGGCTCTGTCCCCTATACATTTTAGAATCTGTTTTTATTATGCCATATTATACACACATAGAAAGTATACACATATATCTTGTTGAAAAATTGTTCATGTAACCCAATGCAACATCCTGCTCTCACCTTCCTTAATATATATTCAGAGAGGTAACCACTGTTGTGAATTCCTAGCAACCATTCTTTGTCTTTACTAAGCATGCATCGGTAAGAACTAGGTTTTAGTTTTGTTCAGTTTTGAGCTTTATGCGAGAGAAATCATTGTGTTTGTGTTTCTAAGTTTGTCTCTTTTCTTTAGAATAGTGTTGTGACATCCATCCGTGTTGTTCCACTAAGCTATAATCTGTTCACGTTCATTTCCATGTAGTTACATGATTATGCCATAGTTGTTTATTGTTCCAAAATATTGTTGATTGACAGCTGGATTGTCTGAGGGCTATTTGCAGTAATGTGGTAGTGAACATTCTAGTGCACTTCCTCTAGGCACATGTCCATGAATCTCACAAATGTAGAATTAGTATGTGTGTTTCCAAGTGTAGGACATATTCCAGGCTACACTGTAGCAGTTTGTGAACCTCTTGCTGTGACTCCTTGTCCTTGTCCTTATGTGGTACTGTTGATCTTTAGCAATTTTGGCAGCTATGCTTATTATCATGTGCTTTTAATGTGTGTGTTCTTGAGTACTTATGTATATTGGTTGTTTGTATATCTGTTTTGAAGAGCTCGTCTACCATTTTTTATTGATAGGTATTCTTATAACATGCTAGGTATGAGTTCTTCATCACCTGTATAGAACACCTTATCTCCCTTCATTCTGCAACTTGCTTTCCTAAGAAGGGAGTGAGAGTGGGCAAATGCCTATTTAATACCTATATTATAGTCTTAAAATTAAGAAAAGTATTAATTTTTTTTATTTTTGAGACAGGGTTTCACTATGTAGCGCTGGAGCTCGGAGCTCTAGAACTCACTCTGTAGAGTAGGCTGGCCTGTCTCTGCCTCCTGAGCCCTGGGGTTAAAGGCATGCACTACCATATCCGGCTGGCATAACATTTTTTAAAGTTAGATTGCTTGGTAAATCACATCAAATGAATTCTTGCTGATAGACACTTATGTCATGCATTTGTACTGACTGCTTACTGCATACTTCATATTTCAGCCCATATCTGTCCTATGAATAGTAAATGCAAACAATTTGCAAAGCTTTGTTTCATAAACTTACAGGAGTACTTAACTGAAAGTCTTGTCTTCACACTGCTCTTAACAATAAGAACTTATTCTATTTTTGTCTATTATTCTATATGCCAGCTGCTTCTATGAATACTACCTCATTTAATTTTCAGTAGTGATTCTTGGGATAAAGAATTTTTGCCAGGCGGTGGTAGCACACGCCTTTAATCCCAGTACTCAGGAGGCAGAGGCAGGCAGATCTCCGTGAGTTCAAGGCCAGCCTGGTCTACAGAGCAAGATCCAGGACAAGCATCAAAACTACACAGAGAAACCCCGTCTCAAAAACAAACAAACAAACAAACAAAAAAAACCACAAAGAATTGCATTTTCAATGCTACAGCAGGACCCACAGCACAGAGCTCAAGTATCTTCACCAACACAATGTTAATACATTTCTGACTTAAAAATTGAAGCCTGGTCAGAGTCTTAGCATAACAATCAAGAAAATAAAATAAAAATTAACCTTAGATTTTTGGCCAAG